TCACGCGCACTGCTGACTGCGCAGCAAGCAGCGACTGCGCTTGGGCTGCGCTGCAGTGGGGGTAATATTATGAGAATTTATTAGTTGATTAATTTAATTTTTAGACGTACAATCTTAATGAAACTTTCAGAGCGTAATCAGAGCGTATATCATATTAAAATGTGTGTACATTCCAAAGCACAAGTCTCTAGTACTTGAAATGCGTTTTTTACAAACTTGGGGCAAAGGGGGCGTGGTATCCAAAATCTGTAAATTACATCTGTAAATCTTCGTATCGATCAACTGTATATACACAGTAAATCTGAAGTCTCTAGGTCTAAAAGTGTTCAAATTAGGCTGGAAAAACAAAATCAATTTTTCGATTATTCTCGATAAAAAAGTTATCGGATAAGTTATCAAAAAATATGATAAACTTATGGTACACACGAGTATGCATACCAAATTTCAGCTCTCTAGCTCTTATGATTTCTGAGATCGACGCACTCATACAGACGGACGGACAGACGGACAGGGCTATATCGATTCAATTCGTCGTGCTGATCAAGAATATATACTTTATGGGGTCTGCGATGACTCCTTTTTCCCGTTACATACTTTTTCACAAAATCATTCCCTCATCATACCCTGATTTCCCATTTGCAGTGGGTTCAGGGTATAAACAGTGCATTGCGGTGCTTTATATGAAAAAGTATTCGTCTCGATAAAGCGCTCGCCGCAGACTGTCCTGCCATATTTTCACTGCTTAAGCCTCAAGCGACCAAGCCGAGCAATTACGAGGTTCACTAGTCTCTTCCATACAGATTTTTGGCCGTGGTAATAATTTGCTCAACGTGTCCAGTCTATGTCTTGTATGATTAGTGGCATGGTATGTCCATGTACAATTTCTTTAGCTCTCATATCTTCTGTATTGTAAGTATTGTATTTAATATTTCATAGTAAGCATAGAGAATTAGATTTATATAAATTACAAAAGAGTCTATGTATATGCTAATTTTTGAGACTTGATCTTTAAAGATTGCATAAGCATTTCATAGCAGACTTGCAATAAGGGTTTTAGACGACAGCAATAACAACTATAAAACTCAAAAATAGTTATCGTTTCTTAGGAGACAAACTGGATTTGCCCTCGCCATTCACGGTCCTACGAAACAAAACTTCAAGCATATCATCTGAGATTGACGCTTTCATACATAGAGATAGACGGAGAGATCGACAGTCAGGTAGGCAGACAGACGAATAGCCCCTAATCGACTCAACTCAACTCATTGAGCTGACCAATACTATATTTGTATATACTATATGGGGACTGCCACATCTCCTCCAGCCTGTTACATACCTTTCACATACATCTAACAAAACCATCATACCCTGATTTCCCATTTCAAGCTACCATTTTGAATGGAAAGCATAGAGTGAGCAGCTGCAAGAATATGAACAAAGCTGAGGGCGGGAGGCGAGCAAGGCAAGAGGTGAATATCTTGTAGATTGAAATACTCGATTGGAATCTAGTTCCGGAATAAAAGCTATTAATAGACATATCACACTGATTCAACTGATTGTGTTGGAATATAAGGTAAGATTATCTTGATAGGCAGTTGAGGATGTTAACGATGATATATACACCCTTAATATCAGCTGAAAAATCTTAAGTTTGAATAGATTTAAGAAGAAAAGTTACCATCTTACACGTGTGTAAATCTTTAAGTATTGCAGGGGCGTGTGCCTTATTGAATTAAAAGTTGCGCTGTTTGGTTAGATAAGCAGATCACTAAACATTTGTTTTTGTTTCATCATATGATTTCTGAACTGATCTTGACACTTTAATTAGATAGCACCATATTCACTTGTATCAATCACGAAAGTGTTCCGAAAATTGTAGAAATCGCGCGCGTCCCGAAATAACCATGATAACTGAATAGCAAACACATTTCCGTTCACCTGAACTCCTTCTGAAAACCAGAAGTCTACAAGTCTACAAAAAATACAAAACAAGATGAAACACGTTTGCCCAATGAATAAATAGCAGCTGAGCAATTTCAGCCAATCGGGATGCATCCCAGAAGTGTTGCTCGAGAGAGAGAGAGATAGAGCGAGAAGGGGTGGGAGAGGGAGAGGGAAAGAGCGAATGACTCGCGGCAGCTGTCAGCCAATCGGAGCGCCCGATACGCAATTTGGAGGCGTGTGCAACGGCCACTGTGGCACTTGCGAAGCACATGCGCATTGGCCAAGCAACAGCCCTCTAGGAGGAGCTCCGTCTACCTTGGGCGAGACTTGGACACCCTGCCCCTAATTTGCACATAACACGTATTTTGTACTTTGAATTCAACGAACTGTGAATATTGCTTTTAATTTAATTAACTTTCCCCGACAAAATTGCGGCATGCAAATTAAATGAAGCCTTTGGACAAGGGACAAGGGTGTAAATACACGCCTGATGTATGTATGTCTGTAATGTTTATGTGTTGACTTGATTTTATTCATTAACTTGCTTGAATGACATGATGATGTAGATGGCATCGGAGTGACAGACAGAGAGAGAGCCAGAGTGAGAGAGAGAGAGAGAGAGATGTTTGTAGGAGTAGCACGTGGCTCAAACTATTGCATAAGCTGCATAATTGGCAATCCCACACAAGTTAATGCCCCTACGCATTCTCATGTAGCCCGATTCACCCCACTTCTCTCCCCACCAATTCTTAAGAATCCAGTAGTCTTTATCATATCCAATCAGCAGCATCGCATGATTAACCGAAGTCGAACTGCACGTGACATCATCGTAAATTCCGTCGCTGCAAGGAGAGAAAAGAAGAAAATAGAAGAGAGCACACTACTAAGGGCCAGACCCGAATGAAATCGACTCAACATATTGCTCGATTCAACATATTTCTAATAAACCTATGCATGTGTATATGGTATGTGTATGTATATGAGTAAAAACACAACTAGAGTACTTATTGTACTGTGGTTGTATCATCATCTGAGATATTCCAAGATAGCTCGGTCCAGCCTTACCTATATAGTTGAAAAGTTTTCGGCGTCGCATTGATAGAAACTGCAACTGGGCCAATATGCGCCACAGCTGCCTGAATCGCATTCTCGTCATTGGCGGGCAAAATGGCCCACGAGGTGACGTTGACCACGGCCAACTCGCTCACGAACTGGCAAACTCCTTTCTGCAATACAAAACTCATTTATTAATGCTGCTGAGATCTCTGACAGATATGTACATGACAGATATGTATATGTATATGTATATGTATATGTATATGTATATGTATATGTATATGTATATGTATATGTATATGTATATGTATATGTATATGTATATGTATATGCAACTGCAACTGGGCCAATATGCGCCACAGCTGCCTGAATCGCATTCTCGTCATTGGCGGGCAAAATGGCCCACGAGGTGACGTTGACCACGGCCAACTCGCTCACGAACTGGCAAACTCCTTTCTGCAATACAAAACTCATTTATTAATGCTGCTGAGATCTCTGACAGATATGTACATGACAGATATGTATATGTATATGTATATGTATATGTATATGTATATGTATATGTATATGTATATGTATATGTATATGTATATGTATATGTA